CTTCCAACATACATAAAAACATAATGAAACATTAAACATTTTTTAAAACTTCCCTATATAGGGCTGCCTTCAGATGTCTTCTAAAGATTGCGTAGTTACTTATCTCCTTGGCTTGGGGGGGGGGTCACATAACTCCATACCCTCCAACATTTCTCTGATGAAAATAGGGACGTCCTACCACAGCCTCCAATATTTCTCTAATGAAAATATGGATGCCCTAAGGAAAAGTGGGACATTTCAGGATCGAATCAGAAACCGGAGTGCATGTCTGGCTTGTCTGTGTAAATGGCTGAGTTTATGGGGAATGTCTCAGTCTCAGTCAGTTTTATTGCACATAGCCAAAGGCTGCCGCTTATGGGGAATGATCTTTAAAAAGAAAGGAAGGAAGGAAGAAAGAAAGAAAGAAAGAAAGAAAGAAAGAAAGAAAGAAAGAAAATATTTCAAATAATCTTTGTGCATCCAGCTCTGTTTAATGCTATCATCAATATGCCTCTTCTGTTGCTAATGCACATATCATAAAGGAGGGTGTCTGTTGTTGTTTTTTACCTTCAAACATTGGTTCTTGTGAAAGGGCACCAGATCTTTGCTCTTGAGCATTCTCAGTCAATTTCAGTGGGATATGCAAAGGATATAGTACATAACAGATACATAGGAGCCAACTCCTTGGGGCTGAGGTGCTTTTGCCCCTCCCCCAATAAAATATTTGACGTAGCCAAGTCCCCCGAAATTTGGTGGGCATTGCCATTCAAACAGTGTGCCTGCACCACGACTTGTGATCAATTATGTAGGATGGGACTTACCTGCCCCCCAATATTTCATTCAAGTTGGCACCCCCAGATATGTTTGATGATTCTGTGGGAGGCAGCCTGGGTTGTATCCAGCAGAATAGATCCATTAGAAGTAATGAACATGGCTAACTTGGATCCAGTCATCTCAGGTCAGTCTACTCTAAGTAGAAATCAGTTGGATGCCACCTATTGTTTCAGATCAGAGGAGCGTGCTGCGTGTGTATTTTGTTTCAACGAGAGTGTGTGTGTGAGAGAGAGTGGGAATGTATGTCAGTTGAAAAATGTTTGAACTCACAAATTCTCAACACAGTCATACTGTGTAGGAACAGGCTAAATTCTTTCCAGGACATACTGTACACAATAGATGGTACATTAGCACATTTGGAATTCATCAGACTTGACTCACAAAACCATTTACTGTGTTTTCAGTAGCCAAATTCTATGCATTATGGAAATGAGCCTCTATTATAGGTAGCAAAACACAGTTTGGGGAGAGATAATGTGGCTCACATTAGTGCTTCCTAGCACAGGATTCTGGGTAACATCTAAAGTTCCAGTTTCAGGGATAACATAGTAGAAACGTCTGTGCTAAAGGATGTTGGATTCGTCTAGTCTTCTCCAACTCGATGCCTTCCAGATTTGTTGGACTCCAGTTCCCAACAGCCTCAGAAAACAATGGGAAATGTAGTCCAGTAACATCCAGAGGGAAGGAGATTGGAGAAGAATGCTCTGGGATTTCTTCAAATCGAAAACTTAAAGCTCACATTTCAGCCTTTCACCGATTCCGGACAGACAAAACTGTTGCAACATCTCAAGTTACATTTGACAGAAAATAGGTTCTGGATATTGAAATGCTTTTTCAAATGCGCGAAAACCGGAGAGGGATGTAGAAACTGGGCAGGATGGGATTGGTGGTAGAACATCTGCTTTGCATGCAGAAGGTCCCAGGTTCAGTTCCTACCAGCATTTCCAGGTAGGACTAGGAAAGATTCCTCCCTGAGAGTTGCTGCCAGTCAGTGTAGTCAGCAATATGGAGTTAAAGGGATTAAAGTCCTTCCTAACAGACTTCATCAAATCATAGAATTGTACACCCTAAGGAAGGGACCCTAAGGGTCGTCTAGTTAAGCCCCCTACAATACAGGAATCTCAACACATGGTCTCCCATCCAATTTGAAACCATACTGGATCCTGCTTAGCTTTGCAAATGTGCCAGCAGTTTTATTGCTGAATAGACTCATTTATCCATGCCTGGAGTCATCTCATTGTCTACTGACAGAGCAGGAACCTGGGCTAGATGGACACTTCTTCTGTCTCAGGAGGGCTCTTCTAACTTTCTTCCATTACCAAATCCACAACAGCATCAACACAGGTTGCGTTACAGCTCTGTTGTTGCTAGGCAGAAGAGTCAAGGAAGTGAAGAACCTGAATCTGAACCTAGGTTGGTGCTTCCACAAGACCTGTTCCCACTTTTCCAAACCCTGACCATCACTGCTGGTTGCAAGAAACATGCATTTAGCAGGAATTCCAAATAATTATTTGGCACTTGTGACGGTGAGTCCTGTTTGCTCTGAAAGGGCTATGCCAAGCGTTTTTAAGCCAGCAGAGGGAAAAGTATTTAACAGATGCCTGCTGCCATTTGTTTAGAGAATGTGGAATTAGGAGTGCTGCAGTCTGCTGGCATGACCCCACCCCCCTCCTCACCTTCCACTCCGTCACCAGAATGTAAAACAGGGTTTCAAAACCCTTCTAAGCTGGGCACATGGGGTACATGTGCATTTTCATGAGTACACAGGCGACCATGTGCCTGTTAGCCCAGGAAGAGTGTCTCATAACAGTGGAACGATTGTTGAACAGCAATCTGGCTTTCATTAGAGACCAGCAATGGGCCGAATTTCAGCACTGGACTGTATGCTCACCTCTCTCTCTCTCTCTCTCTCTCTCTCTCTCTCTCTCTCTCGTGTGTGTGTGTGTGTTGGTCATTAACCCCTTAACTGCTGGACACAGTGGACCTCCCACCTGTCAGGCTTTTAAGTATCTCCTAAGCTGCACGTGATCTTGTCTGTGGAGAGAGAGAGAGAGAGAAAGAGAGAGAGAGATCTCAAAGCACCCATCAAATCTCCTCCTATTTATCTGTCATGCTTAGTTGATGGGAAAGCTCCCTTATCCCAGTTTAAACATTTGCCTATGCCCCGGGAACCTCCTTTCTGCACAATGGTCATGTCCAGCGCCACCTATTTGCTCGAGAGACTTGTGGCTCTTGGGAGGTGGTCTAGAAGGAAATGCAGGCCTTGGGATGAAAAAGGTTCCCTACCTCTAAGACTGAGACACAAGGAGAGTTAGGAGGTTATTTCAGGATAGTCTGTGCAAGCAAACGCTTAGACATGAACACCAGTGCATGTTCCTTGCAAATCACCGAAACTCAACTTTTTCTCTTTCTTTTTCCCTTTGGCTGTGCCTGAGATTTCTGGTCTGCTTTTGTTTTCATGGCAAATATTTTTGAGATGCGTTACAAGCAGGGCTTGATGGCTCATGTTTAATGTATGGGTGTTCAGTGAGGTTTTCATTAAATTGGATCAAGCAACTGTAAAGAATTTATCTGGAGCGCGATTACAATCACACAGCCTCCCTAAGGAAGGCGAGTCCATTCCCAGCATTTCCCGAGAGAGCTTCTTATATAAAGCTTCTCCTCTCTTGCAACATTACACCGAGCCATCAACACATCGTCGGCATACGGTGCCAAATGTGCAACAACAAACAATTTGAAATCACACTAGCCTTGCATGCACAACGCAAACATTTCACACACTAACACCGCCTTCAGAATTGTTAGCAAATATTTTTGGCTGCGTGCCTCAGTCCTAGTGCAGCTAAGTCATTGGGAGTTGTGATGCACTCCCAGTCTGGCCATAAGAGTTTCCTAGGTAAGACATGCCGCCTGTCAAATTAGTTATTTCTATCCCAGCTTCTTTCCAAGGAGCTCAAGGTGGTATACATGGTTCTACCCCCCATCTCCATTTAACTTCACAACAACCCTGCGAGGTTGGTTAGGCTGAAAAAACGTGTGCTACACCTGGTTACGGCAGATGCTTCTGACACAGAGTGTGTCGATAGAGGGGTTCAGAAAAGGGCAACCACAATTATCAAGGGAGTGAAGAGAAGTTGCAGGACTTGGGACATTTTGGTTCGAGAAGAGGGAAGTGAGAGACTACATGATGCAAGTACCATATTTTTTGCTCTATAAGACGCACTTTCCCCCTCCTAAAAAGTAAGGGTAAATGTGTGTGCGTCTTATGGAGCGAATGCAGGCTGCGCGGTTATCCCGGAAGCCAGGAGAGCAAGAGGGATCAGTGCGCAGTGAAAGCAGCGGTTCCTCTTGCTGTTCTGGCTTCCGGGATAGCTATGCAAAGCCTCTTCAGGGCAACGGGCACAGCTATCCCAGAAGCCAGAACAGCAAGAGGGACCGCTGCTTTCACTGCACAGCGATCCCTCTTGCTGTTCTGAGTTGGCTTCGCTGGAGAGGCGCTGCACAGCTTTCCCTCTCTGCGCAGCACCTCTTCAGTGCTGAAGAGGCACTGCGCAGAGAGGGAGAGAATATTTTTTTTCTTGTTCTCCTCCTCTAAAACTAGGTATGTCTTATGGTCGGGTGCGTCTTATAGAGCAAAAAATACGGTATATTAAACTGAGCACAGCACAGAGAAAGTGGATAGAGAAAATGCACTCATAGCACACACCCGATGAGGCTGAATGTTGAGAGATCCAGGACAGGTAAAAGATGCTCACACAGAGCATCACTTGCCCCCATAAGAGGCAGCGATGGCCACCAACTTGGATGGCTTTAAAAGAGGATTGTGCAGAATCATGGAGAGCAAGGCTGTCAATAGCTACTAGCCAAATGGCTATGCTCTGCCAACACTGTCAGATGCTACTGAATCCCAGCTGCTGGAAACAGCAAGAAGGGAGAGTGCTGTTGCACCCATGCCCTGCTTGCAGGCTTCCTTCTTTCATCTGCTTGGTCACTCTGAGAACCTGATGTTGGACTAGGTGGACCATTGGCCTGATCCTGCAAGATCATCTTATGTTCGTGTGTGTGTGTGTGTGTGTGTGTGTGTGGTGGAGATCGGAACTTCTTTCACATATCTGATCCTCCTAGTTCAGACATGCAGGTATTACACACAATTGTTGTCCAACGAAATGTATAGCTGCTTTATACTAGGTTAGACCATTGGTTCATCTAACCCATAATAGTAGGGCTCTCCGGGGTTTTCCACATCACCTGCTTCTAGGGATGGAGGATTCTTTCAGTTTTAGTTCTCTCAGCTCCTCAATCTAATGTTCAGTTCTCCACATGCCCACATAATTTTGCAAATTTTCAAAAGTATGTATGGAAATTCATCAGCCTTTTAGGGCACATTTCTCCTAATACACAAATTTCTGTAGGCATTTTAATTTTATTTTTTGCTCAGTATAGTACGATTGTGTATTACATGGAGGTTATGTTCAGGAGATGGCATGTATATGCAAAAATGGGTATACTGAACCACTCCTGACCTTTCCGGAGCAGGCGCCTCAAGCAGCCCTGGCAACCTCGCCCAAAGCAAGACAGAAAACTTTAAAGTTCTCTGCCTTGCTTACTGGACTCTGGGATGCCCTTGCAAGATCTCGCAGGGCTGTCCAAGTTCCTGCAAGATCTTTCAAGGGTATCCCAGAGTATTGTGTGAGAGTATCCCAGAGTCTGGTAAGCAAGACGGAGAGCTTAAAAGCTCTTTACATGTTGGGAAAGCCCTGTGCAAAAAGAGCTTTTAAGCTCTCTGCCTTAAACTGTTTGGTTTCAACTGGTCAGCCTTCGGCCGCGTAAAGTTGAAATTGTGCATGTTAAATGTGTGCAAATTGCAACTGTACTGTATTGTTATGCGTTTGTGGGTGCCAGGCACCTAATCCCTGGACCCAGTCAGCTAATCAAGCCTTCAAATTTTGGGAAATAGCCAGACTAGCCTCCTGGTGAGGTGTAAGGAGAGCAAAGGAAGGGGCCCTGTGGGAAACGGCAACTGGATGGGGCCCCTCTCTCGATTCACAGATATAGTGAAGAGGAATTAAGCCAAATTTGAGAGTTAGATGTTATGTGAGCAAGAAGCTGGAGGTGTAAAAGCTGCAGGCTAAAAAGACAGAGAGGCAGAGCACAAGGTTTCATTTCTTGTTTGAATCCAAGGCTGCGGCTATGGGAGAAACGACCCTTTTAGACCATTAACGCTGTGCACCCCTCCACCACAGGCTCGGGTTGTATGTATGTGCAAATAAATCATATATCCTAAAGACAATGTGCCTCATTCCCAAAAGGAAACACAAACCCTGGGTAAGTGCTTGCAACCCCTGGAATCTTGCACGGCTCAGAGATTGGGGTGGCATGCAACAGTAGGCATATTTTTTGCAAGCTGGTCCCCTTAATAAAATGCATTTTTTAATGTTATCGTCAGGGAACTGTCATCAGCTCAGAGGTGAGAGGTGGAAGGGCAGTTGTGTTATAGGGAACCTCTGAAAATCTTGCGAAGCAGTTTCTCTTCTGGAGAGGAGGGAAGCCCCACCTCCAGTGGAGAGGAAGTGGTGGGAGCAGGGGATGCTTGGGAGAGCCTCAACACTGAGCCTGAGCAAACCGGAGGGGAGGGAAGTACCCCTTTGCCAGCGCCCATGCTGCGCAGTAGGTTTAGGTGCAGGGAAGGGAGGAAAAGGTTGGGGGTCACACAACTGTTATGCTAGAGGAGGCATAAGGACTGTCCACTCCCAGATTCTGCTAGCAAGTGAGCCAGACATGAACTTGCGATGCTCTTCACTGCAAATAGTTTGCACTAATAATAAAGCCTGAAAAAGACAGGTCAGAGTCTTGCCTGTTTGCTCTCGAGCAACCACACCAGCACCTGACAGTTATATATTTTTTAATTTGCGCATTTATGCACACTTTCCCCTAGTATATGCATCTTTGTTCACATCATTTGATGGAAGGACTTGACTGCAAAAGTTTGTAGAAGTGTGCATTCTGAAGTGGGTTTGTGTGTGTTGTGTTTCAGTTTGCATACTGTTTCGGGAAATGCAGATTAGGTAAACGTGAACTGAATCCAATTTCTCCCACATCCTTAGCTCTGAATTTTTAGAGCTCTGAAATGTCTGTATATTTTTAGGGGACACACATGCCATCAGTGCCTTTGGTGTTTATGAGAAATTAATACAGGCAAAGAATACCGTAAGGCTCGACCGAAGCCTCTTATTCATCTCCCTTCCTCGCTATCGTATGGTGAATCCTTTACTCATCTGACAATGAAACTGGCAAGTGTGTCCTTTTTCTGCTGTCAAATGTTGGAGGGAAGGAGGGAGCCACCAGCTGGCAGATGAGCAAGATCGGTGGCATCCGTTACCAGTCCACTGCTGGTGAGCCCATGTCTGTGGGTTAAGTGAGTCAAGTTTCAAAGAGGCAGTTCAGGAGTAGGGCAAGAAGCAACAGAGAACAGAAGCCGGAACTAAGGGAAATGGATAGGAAGAGTCATACCATGCAGGCTATGATTGTCAGATAAGTATGCAGATTTAAATACCAGCCAAGCAGAAGCCTTGGCTACAGATAATCAGGGCTTGGGACACCCAAAGGGGAAAAAGTGGTAAGACCAAAAGGGGAAGGGTCACGACCTGCTTTGCATTCCCAGGTTCAAACCCTGGCATCTCCAGCCAAGGCTAAGAATTGTGCCCCACCTGAAACCCTGGAGAGCTACTGTCAGTTAGTGCAGACAATACTGAACTCAATGGACCAGTTCGGACTTGGCCTAAGGTAGCTTCCTGCGTCCATCTACAGTGCAGTCCTAAGCCCACAACAAGTGGTTTAATGTTAGCCTTTGGTAATATTAGGAAAGGGCACAGTCTAGAGCTGTAGCTTGTACAGGAAGGTTGTTGTGTAATGGTTGGGGAATCAGATGGCATGTGGCACTCTCTTTGCTGCAGCAGAGACCAGAGTGGCTCCCAGTCAGGTAGGAAGTTATTGCTAAATGCAGCCTAGAGAGAGAAAAACTCCAAATAAGCTTTTTTAGAAAAAAACAAAATAAAAATTCATTGGATCCAAAGCTCTGTGGTTCCCCTAAGGGCCCCAGTCATTGGGCATCTCAGCCACAGAGCTCCGGAGTCATGATTCAGGATTTCAAAAAGAAGTTCAGAACCAAACGGAAGTTGCGAAGATGCCCCAACAAGTTTCCATGCCCCCACTGCCAAGCTTTTAGAGACAAGGTGTGGTAAGCTCACCTGCAGCATTCTCTCACCTTGTGGGAACATCAGGATTGCAGAAACACACTCCCTCGGGGTGGGTGGGTCTGCTCCCATTCATGAAGCAGCACGCATGGAGAGTCCTGTGGGTACATTTGTTTTTCTGGGAGCTGTGTGGCTGCTAGCTAGGGAACAACCAGACCTGGGCAACACATCCACACCAGCAAATAACTTTAGCTGAATTCATTCATTCATTTTTTATTATTCAGATTGAGTTAGATTTCATGTCCCGAAAAGTCAAAAGCTGAGCATTTCAGAGTTCAAAAATTGTACATTTAATTTATTCTCCCCCTTCCAAAAAGAGAAGCATCTTAGTGTGTCACGATGTGTGCTGCATACAAGTCTAATAAGCCCGGCAGTGCAAGAATACGACACTTAATTTAAAAAAAGAAAATCAGAAAAGCAAAGGGTGAGGGGAGAGTAGTGAATAGAGAGGATCTTATAGTGAATGAAGGAGGTGGGGGCAGGCGGGGAGGGAGAGAGAGAGATGAGCCAAGGGACTGACGCGTCCCTCTGCTTGTCGGACGTATCTGTGGACTTAAATGACATCTCAGGGGACGGGATCAAACTTCCAGATTCAATTCATCCATCAGATGGGAGAACAAGACCTGGCTTTCAGTCAGAGAGGAGTTGAAGGTTCCTATTGGAGTAAATGAGCTCAGACCACACAGATAAACAGCGTTTTCTGTTCCATTTGAAAACATTTTCAGGGGAGAATCATCTGTCACTCGGCTCCAGGCCGGAGGCCTTTCAGCTCTGATTAAAGTAGAGAGTTCAACACAACACTGGCGCTTTTGAAAGCCTCTCTCCAATCCTTCTCTTCATCTCAACTTCACAGCTTCCCAGAATTTGAAGCAAACCGCCTGGCATTCATATATTACTGATAGCATTCTCATTCCCAAGAAAGGATGAACCGTGCTTCGCAAGCATTAGTTGTGCTCCAGCCCTTTCTTTACTGATTCATTGTCTAGTGCCTGTGTTTTCTGGCTTTTAACGTTGGGGATTGGATGCTCAGACAGAAGGGCCAAATTGTATTTAAGCATCTTTTTAAAATATATATATTTATAGTTGGGGGTGGGGAAAATCAGAAGTCTTGATTATAATTTTCTTGCAGAAAAAAAATGGATTTCTCTTTTCTTTATTCTATATTACCAAGGAAGGTGTGTGCTATACCCTCTGCCCCACCCTACTCAATTAAAAACAACCCTCTTTCTTATTAGACAGAATAGCTCAGTGGCTAGCACATTCCTTTTCTGCAAAAAAATAAAAAATCCAAGCTCAGACTCCGACATCTACAGTGGGGGCTAGGAAGGATTCCTGTCTGATATTCTGACCAGACCATTGGCCTCATACTGAGTCAAGCCATTGGCCATCTAGCTCAGCATTGTCCACACTGACTGGCAGCAGCTGGCCAGGGTTCAAAGGCAGGGAACATTCCCAGTCCTACCCGGAGAAGCCGGGGATCGAACTTTGTATCTTCTGCATGCAAAGCGGATGCTCTCCCCCCTGTGCTACAGCCCCTTCCCTAATTCTGGAGAGCCACCATTCAGTTGGTATGGACAGGACTGAACAAGACGGGCCAGTTGCCTGGCTCAGTGAAAGGCAGCTTCCTAGGTTCCTAAGTCTTAAAGTATGAAGTGTATCTCAGAGGTAGAGCATGTGGCATGCAGGCAAAAGGTCCCTGGTTCAATTCCCAGCATCTCTAAGTAGGGCTAGGAAAATTTCCGGTCTGAAACCCAGGAAAGCTTCTACCAGCAAAACTGAGCCGGGTAGACTAATGGGCTGACTCTGGAAAAGGCAACCTTCTCTTTTTCTGTGACCTTGCTGTCATCCTTTGCTGAAGCATCCAAAATCCTGCATTTCTCCTCTTCCTGCTGCATCACAACCTGTTACCCAAACCCAAGTCTTGTTGCAAATGGTCAGCCTCCTGATTCCTACTCATCTCACATCTTATCTGGGGTTGGCACAGCACCGCACTGACCAAAATTCATGCAGGATTGCCAATGACTTGAAAGTATTCAGCGTATTCCATCAAGGGTTATTCCCACGCAACTTTCCATTGAAATAAAGAGAAGCTGTATTTGATAGATTGCATCCATTGTTGCCATTACAACTGGCCGTTGTGGGCATTTTTTTAAAAAAAAACCCCAAATCACTCATATGCACAGGGGGAGGGAAATAGGAAATTTTCTCCACCAAACACACACACACACACACACATAAGTTCAATGTCAAAAATATAGGCATATGCATTTGGTGTGTGTTTTTAAGCAAACTAACCTAATTTGCAGGTCCTAGACTAATCCATGGATCAGCACACAGTCATCATTTGCACTGTGCATTTCTCTAAATTTTACAACGCAGTTTTGCTTCCAAAAAGTGCATTTAGGGGGGAAATCCATACAAAAATGCCAACTTTAGGGTAAAATGCAAACACATTCAGCAATGTGCAATTTGGGAGTTGAATGTGTACTGAGATGTGTTTTAAGAGAAATTGCATACCCCCTCCCAAAAAAACCCCCACAATTTAGGAGGAAATGCATATCAGTATATGTTGGTTTTTTCTGTATTAAAAAGAAAAGAAAGAAAGAAGACTGGATAGGTTGTACTGATGATTTGGCACATGAGAAGTTGACATGGAACAGAAATAGACTTTCCATCCCTAAAAACAAAAACAAGCACAGTGATTGGGGGTGGGGTCGGGTGGCAATGCTTCTATTCTACTTAGTGTATGTGTTTTGTGTCAGCTGTAGAAAATGTAACTTGAAAAAAAAGAGACACTGCACATACTTCTGTAAACCAATAAATCTTTAATAAAAATACATTAAAAAAATAAAAAATGAAAATAAAATAAAACAAGCACACAAATATACAGTAGTACCTTGGTTCTCAAACTTAATCCGTTCTGAAATCCGTTCCAAAACCAAAGCGTTCCAAAACCAAGGCGCACTTTCCCATAGAAAGTTATGCAAAATGGATTAATCTGTGCCAGACTTTTAAAAACAACCCCTAAAGCAGCAATTTAACATAAACTTTACTATCTGAAGAGACCATTGATCCATAAAATGAAAGCAATAAACAATGTACTGCGGTCACACAGTCAATCGATCAGTAGCCGAACTGGGTTCCACACAGTCACAAAAACAAAAAAAAGAGGCACAAAAACAAAACCGCAAAATAAATAGCAAAAACAGACAGACCTCAGCGTAACACTCAAAACGGAAGCGTAACACTCAAAGCAGAGCACGTTTGGCTTCCGAAAAGCATTCGTAAACCTGAACACTTCTGGGTTTGCAGTGTTTGGGTTCAAAGTAGTTTGAGTACCAAGGCGTTTGAGAACCAAGATACCACTGTAATACGAAATAAGGACTAACAAACCTTGTCCCGGGGCAACAGTATAGTGTAAACAGAAACGCCTCCTTTAAATTGTGAGCAGTGTGTTAACTATATAGGTCCTAGCTGGCCTGAATGAATCCAACTAGTTTTACACTGTAAGGTAAACTAAAGAGGACTGACCAAGGAGTTGTGTGTGCTTATACAGCCCCTGGCACCAGGCACCATGCCGCTGTCAGTGCCACATGCAGATAAATTCTCCATGCAGCCTTTAGAGCATTCACCAAGGCCAGTTCTGCTCAGTGGCTGCGTCCACACTGTGAATTTCATCCTGGAAACAGTGGCTTACCCCTCGCAGGGATACAGTTCCCAGTATCCTTAATTGACTGCATTGCTGAAGAGTCTTTGGGTGCAAGCAAATGCTTTCAATATGTTGTTTCTATCCAGACAATAAGTGTGGCAAATTGAGGAGTGTGGTTATTATTTTATTATTACAATTTATTGCCAAGGTCCCATAGTGGGTTGCAACATTAAAACGCAACATTAAAAGCAGTAATCAAACAACCGCCGATCATAAAAAAATAAGGTGGGTTCTAAAAATAGATACCTCAGGTGTCAAAGGCAGGGTAAAGAGATGTGTATTTAGCTGTCCTCTAAAGGAGGCATAATGAAGATGCCAGGCACATTTCCGTGGGGAGGGAGTTCCACAGCTTATGGGCAGCCACAGAGAAGGCCCTCTCCTGGGCTGCCCCCCACACCTGAGCCTTTGAGGAGCCAGTGTGGTGTAGTGGTTAAGAGCGGTGGACTCGTAATCTGGTGAACCGGGTTCACGTCTCCGCTCCTCCACATGCAGCTGCTGGGTGACCTTGGGTTAGTCACACTTCTTTGAAGTCTCTCAGCCCCACTCACCTCACAGAGTGCTTGTTGTGCGGGAGGAAGGGAAAGGAGAATGTTAGCCGCTTTGAGACTCCTTCAGGTAGTGATAAAGCAGGATATCAAATCCAAACTCCTCCTCTTCTTCTCTGCCGATCATGGCGGCTGAGAGGGCCAGCACAGAAGGAGGTGGTCTCTCAGATATTTGGGACCTGAGTTGTTTAGGGCTTTCAGTACTTAACATAAGCACCTTCAATTAGGCCTGGAAACAAACTGGCAACTGGGCCAGACCCTCCAAGTGTCCCTATTTTCCAGGACCAGTCCTGGATTTACAAAACTATCCCAGGTTCTGATTTGATCCCAGAATGTCCCACTTTTCCTTTATTGTTGTTGTTTAGTCGATTAGTCGTGTCCGACTCTATGTGACCCCATGGACCAGAGCACGCCTGTCTTCCACTGCCTCCCGCAGTTTGGTCAAACTCATGTTCGTAGCTTTGAGAACACTATCCAACCATCTCGTCCTCTGTCATCCCCTTCTCCTTGTGCCCTCAATCTTACCCAACATCAGAGGTTTTTTCCAGGGAGTCTTCTCTTCTCATGAGGTGGCCAAAGTATTGGAGCCTCAGCTTCAGGATCTGTCCCTATTTTCATTGGAGAAATGTTGGAGGGTATGGAGTTATTGCAACCGCCGAGCCAAAGAGATAAGTAAATATGCAACCTTTAGAAGGCATGTGAAGGCAGTCATGTACAGTGGTACCTCAGGTTAAGAACTTAATTCATTCTGGAGCTCCGTTCTTAACCTGAAACTGTTCTTAACCTGAGGTACCACTTTAGCTAATGGGGCCTCCCGCTGCTGCCACGCCGCCGCTGCACAATTTCTGTTCTCATCCTGAAGCAAAGTTCTTAACCCGAGGTACTACTTCCGGGTTAGCGGAGTCTGTAACCTGAAGCGTATGTAACCCGAGGTACCACTGCACAGGGAAGATTTGTTTTACTATGTTTTCATATATATATTGGAAGCTGCCCAGTCAGATGAGCAGGGAACAACAACAACAACAACATGTCCCTATTTTCATTGGAGAAATGTTGAAGGGCATGCCAGCCTGATTTATGTGAGATCAGAAAGGAAACCCAGCCCAGTAATCAGACCATTGCATTTTGGACCAATCGAAGTTTCCTAGTTGCCTTCAAGGGCAGCCCCACATGGAGCGCATTGCAATAATCCAATCTGGAAATTACCAGAGCATGGAGTACAGTAGCCAAGTCAAGTTAGGGGAGAGACGTAAATGACTTAAATGCTGCACATTTTCTGCAGAAAATGGGATGGAAAGCTATTCATGGCTGAACATGTGACAAGAAAAGGGACTAGGCTCATCTGTCCTTTCTTAACAACACACACGCACACATGCGAACGCCTATGCAGAGTCCTGAAAGGACAGGTTGGTTAACTTTTGTCTCCCTAACTATGGTAAAGATGCGTTTTTCATCCTGCAAGGCAAGGCCCCTAGTTAGTGGTTCCTGGCCCGTTACATTAACTAATTTGAGATTGAATTATCAAATTTGCTCATTGCTGCTAGCACTAATTTGAAACCATACAATAAAGAACAGTTTGAGAAGCCAGATGAAAGGGAGCCACCCACTGAGGCTCCAAGACCTGTCCCTCGCATATCACAGCAAGGTTCGGAAAGATTTTGGATAATTGCAGTCATGAGCTGCAGTTGATTGAAGAAAATTATACCCTTGGCTTTTTCTTTCCTTTTTTTTTTCAACTGCAAGGGTTGAATTTTGGGTTGTTGCTTTTTTTTTTGCATGGGGGGTGGTTTAGTATTGGTGGCGATGGTGGTGATTCCAGCCACACTGCGCACTGGGAGAAAAAAAAATCAATGGCTAGGAAGAATAAGTCATTTTATCAGAATCATTTTTTTAAAAAAATGGGTGGGGAGGGGAGAAACCTTTCACTGGCAGTCCAAATGGCAGATGGAGAAATGGGTAGGACACTGTCAATAATACAGTGATTGGTTCATTTGCACTATGAAGATTTGATCCACCAG